TCTCTCTCTCTCTCTCTCTCTCTCTCTCTCTCTCTCTCTCTCTCTCTCTGTCTCTCTCTGTCTCTCTCTGTATTGCAACTGAACTGACTGCTCTGGTGTACAAGATTCCCCACCCCACGGGCCAGCTGCTATTGACCAGGGAGTAGCCATGGCCCCAGATGTGTCTAGAAATTCTAAGTGGGCTATTTCGGGCCCAAGGCAGTTTCATTAGTAATAGCAATAGCAGACCAATGTAAGGAAATTCAAAAGCTCTATTTTGCTTCCATATTACAGATTCAGTGACTTTTATTCAACATGCATATACTGTAATATTTTACAATGTGCCTTTTTAAGATGAAAAGAGTTAAAAACCTGCCTCTGTGCAATCCCCCCAAGTTAAAGCTAAAATTTCCTAGCCTTTGAAGGTTCAGTTCTCTTATACTGTCATTAAAATTACTTATGCCTTTAATTCACTGTGTTGCACTTACTGAGAAGCCTCCCAAACTACACGCTATGCTCCGTTACTCACGCCTATGCTCTGGGGGCACTGCTCCCAATAAAAGTAAGCCATAATTGCAATACCCCCTAAGATAAGATAAGATAAAATCACTTCTTACAGAGCATGCTCAGGTACTTGATTTTTTAATGTTGTGTTTTTAGAAACACCTCACTGAGTTTTTAAAATAAACTTGACTCAGTGAGAAAGTCTATCATTCCAACCATGTCGGATTTGCAATTTCAGCTAGTTTGCAATCAGGCAAGTGCAAAAAGAGGCCAGAGCGTGTTCTCCAGGGTGGGAAAGGCATGCTGCCTCTCCTTCTGCATGAGGGCATGCAGAGATTCAGTGGACCTCTTCACACACTCACCTGTGTGGTGAGAACACAGGCACTCTTAGTGTCTCTGTCTCCATCTTGATCATATTATTGGTCATTGAAAGGGGTCAGAATGGAAATGAGCTTCTGGCTTTCCTGTTGTACTTGATCCATGAATATCGATTTGGTAGTTGATGCATTTTAATCCTAACCAATGCAGAATTTGAATGAGAATGAAAATTTGGCTTCCGTCACACTATTGAACACCATCATCTAGTGAGAAAGATGGATGCATATTTGGAAAGAAAAGTATTTCCCTTAGAACATGTAAGGCTGCTTTTTGGGATTCATCCCAGAGGATCAATGTCCCAGGACTAGCACTAGCTGCTTGAGGTGTAATGAGCAATCATGTATGAGCTTGTGGCCTTAAAGAGAATTAATTTATTTTCTCAAGGCCTCAGTCTCATAATTAATCATAACACTAATATAAACCCTGCAGAGCTGTCATAAGATTAAATGACAAACATGTGGACAGCACCCATGGCATGCCTGACACATAGTAGGTCCTCAGTACATGTAACCAATGAACACAAATCTAAAACTTGAGCTACGTGACCTTGGACAGACATAAAATTACCTCCCTGAAAAGGAAAATGGTACTACCTACCTCACAGAATTCTTTTAATGACTGTCTACATGTATCAAATAGTAATCGAATAAATTTTATGTGCTAGGGACTTTTGGGTATATGTCTCTCTCTTTAAGAAGGTAAATGAAAATCAGAAGTTTCTATATAATATAAGGTATTTTTTCATGTAACCAGATGTTATTACCTGGGGCCAGGTGGCAAACATATGCTGAGATATAAGATGACCTGCTCTTTAGAGGGTAAACATTCATTCATTTGTTCGTTCATTCATTCATAATACCTTTATTGTGGGTGTGTTAAGAAGCAGGCAAGGCACTATTAGACACAGTTAATAAAACATGGCCCCTGCCCACACATGGAGAGGGTTCCATACAGTTCTTGGCTCAGTATCCTTCATGGTAAGTATTGGTTTCCTTCTTTACCTTCCTCAAGGGGATCTCTGATTAACTGGGAGACAAATGAAAACCAGTTCAAGGATTGGGTGGTAAGTGCTAAAAGACAGGAATTTGCCTAATGTCCTTCTGTCATTTCCAGATTCCTGGATGGAAGAGGGCAAAGTGGATTAGGATTGAGGAGTCTTTCTGCTTTTAACTGGAAATCTTGAAAGGCATGGAAGAAAACTGTCACTAGTTCAAGCCCCGCTAATTGAAACTCTTTGTCGTTTAGAAAAGGGTTGACTGTGCTTCCTCTTGCAGAGGTAAGGGAGAAAAAGCAGAGTGCTAAGGATACTGAGTGAAACAAAGCTGAAGGTTCTATCGGGTAAGTGTTTCTATTAGCTGAAGAAAGAGGATCCAGAGAGCAGAGAGAAGGCAAAGATGAGAACGGATTGCATTCTTTTTTCTGACTTAAACACCCAGTGGTCTCTTGGCTATTTCTAAGATGAAGTTTCACCATAGCTCTACAGCCTCCTGAGTCAACTTGACAAACCCTCTCCCGTGTGCATTCATCTCTGAATGCCCAGCACCAAGCTCGGTGCCTGGCACAGAAAAAGCTCTGTAAATGTGTTGACTCAGCAGATGAGTGGGAAAGGCCTGCTTCCCGCCTCAGGGTCCCTCCTGGGTGCCGCAGTGGACAGAGAAAAGCCTTCCTAGGGCGGGTGCTCCAGCCAGGGCTCAGGGGTTTTGTTTGAATTGGCCCTGAGAAGACAGAAAAATCAGTTCTGCTTGTTCTTTACAGCAACCCAGAGAGGCCCTACAGTGACAGGAGCACATCAAAGTGTCCACTGGCCTAGTTAACCTCTGCCTCAAAGCAGCTCAGACCATGTGGAGCCAGAAAGTACCTCGCATGCCACTCATCCTAATTGGAGAAGACTTCAGAAGTCCAGGCTGCAGGCTGAAAATGACTGTATTCCAAGCTCGCTTAAATACGACTACTTATTTATTTATTTATTTATTTATTTATTTATTATTTTTAATACGACTACTTATAATGCCGCAGACTTTCTGTAGCTAAAACTTTCCAGGAGCAGAGTTCAACTATAGTGTTTTAGAGGACACTAATCTATTTGGTCCAGGACACCCCAGCGAGGAACGACTAGTCAGCTTCTTCTAGGAAGACCACGTCACGTCCTAGTGGAAGAACAAGGAATGCTGTACGTCTAGGCTCTTCTCTTGGAACTTGGGTGTGGGGAGATGAACTGCAGCCTTCACCAGCCCTCCAAGGTGATAAATTAGTAGTGACATCACAATGATATGAGCAATAGCAACCCAAGCTTGTCGACCCACAGACCTTAAAAGCTCTGTGTGATATAGTCTCTGTGCTGGGGTGAGCTTCAGTGAGACGGGTGGTCAACACAAGCCCTTGGGAGGGGACAGAGAGCCCAAACCAGGGCAATGGGTGAGAACAGCAGGGGAGGAAGACGGGTACTCCCATGGGACTCCTCCAGACACGTGAAATACTTGGGGGAGGTTGGGGGTCTCCAACTGCTAGGCAGAGAAGGCAGGGGGCTGACAAGCACAACGCAGGCAGGTGAGAGTCCCAGCCAGACCAGCGGTCTCATGGTTTCAGGTCTATGATTTTTACACCGTGTTCAGAAGAGATGGAGGGATTCATCTTAGTGGCCAAGGGCAAGGGGTAGGACTTCAAGGTTGCCCGTCCCATTTGAGTGAGACTAGTTCTGCTTTTGCTTTTATCTCTAGTATTTATTGAGCTTCTCCTTAACCTTTTTTTTTCCCCCCCCTCAGAAACAGTTTGGCTGTGGAAATGTTTGACATTTGCTAATCTAGTTCTCCTGGCAGGATCCCACGGGCGTTGGGTGGATATGAGGGATGGACAGAGCCGGCGGGAGTGAAGCCAAGGGGCTGGGCTGAGGGCAGGTCTCACTTCCTGTAGCACCAGGAAGAGAGAGGAAGGCCTTGCAGAGATAGGGCCAACATAGCAAAGGGCAGGAATGTGGAGAACTGAGGACACCTCAGATGCAAGTCACATTCCTGGGGTCCTGCACATCAGACTTATGTGCATATTTAATTCAGCCCTTCCCCCAACCAAGACAATAGGGCCCAGGGCTGCTGAAACACTGGCTCAGAACTGAGGGGTAGACATTTGTATTTACAAACTCTGCAGGGGGCAGGGCACCCGCTTATAGCATGCAGGCTGTTCCCCTCTCCCTGCACACACTGTGAGACCAACCCTGCTGGCAGTGCTTTCCAAGGGAAAAGAGACTTCAGGCATGGCTAGGTACGCTAAGAGCTGCTTGCTTTGGGGTATTATAAAAGTTAATAATGTTGGGATTGTTTCTGCTTTGGATGCGAGTAATTGAAATGATTGAAATGGAAATGAAAACATGTGCTTTTGATGATTAGAAGATGAAAAAAGAAATAATCAGCATGAAGGTTAATAATGGGCAAATTCTCTTCTCCTCGACAATACAGATGCTCACAAGAGGAAACGTCTGAAAAACTTTTGGATTTTCCAATTCTCCACTTCAAATAGCCAAGGGCCAGAGACCGCAGAAAGGAAACTCGTAGAGATAGTTCCACTAAGGTTTAGAGCCAAAGACTCAGGCCGGCCCCAAAGCCTGAGCTGAAGACACTCGCTCCTCATTTCTCATCACTCGAGTGAGACACCTGGCAGGCAGGAAAGCTTTAGTCCTTCCAACTCCAGATTTCCTGTGACTACTCAACCATAATGCAGACCACCGTGGTCTCCGCCACGGCAAGTTTCTCCTGGGAGGTTATTCAGGTAAAGCCTTTTCTCTCCTAAAAAAGTACCCAAGTGGCCTAATTGCAAACTTGGAAATAGTACCCCCCTCTCCCGCTTCTCCTCTCCCCCTTCCGCCCCCCTCTCTCTATATTTTAATATCCTTACTAGTGAGGCAGTCTACCTGATACCTTGATCAGAGCACATGAAAGCACAAAAGGGAAGCTAGCAATTCAGGGGTTCTACTGAGGCCGTCTATCCAGGTGGGGAATCCATCCTCCCAGCACTAGCACTCCCAGAATTCTCTCTCAACCTTCAACCCCTCAACAGCAGTTTTCACTCACAGAGACGTAGCACACTATGAGGAGACACACCTCTTAGAAGGTGCATGGTCAAGGGTGTGAAGACCGAGTGTCTGAGACTATGCAATGACTCCAAAAAGCACAGGGAGCACTTAGCCACTCCAGTAGGAGAACTGGTGGCAGCAAGATACATGAGAAAGCCACAGACACTGGGTGTTGAACGTTAGCCTACGCTCACGAGCCGCGGGACTGTGGAAAGAAGTCATTCGTTTCCCTAACCTTAGTTATTTCGTCTGTATACTGGGCCTGCTGAGGTAGGTGTCCCTGGTGGCTCACCGAATGATTGCCTCCTCCCTCCTGAGAGAACCCTCATTTTATTCAAGTATCTGTTGAAGCTCCAGGCACTCCTTGAGCCCCAGTGAATGCCAACACCCCCTCCTCCCAGATACAGATCTGATTGATCTGAATATAATCCCCCCCCCTTTTTTTTTAATAGTATTTGGTTCAGAACCAGGTGTGTGCTCAAGTTCAAGCCAAGGAGACAGGCAGCGGGTTGGCTGGGTGCTTCTAGGAATGTTCTTGTTCCTTCTGGGATCCTGCCCCTAAGCGACCCCTCTCTCTTCCACAGGGTGCTGTGGTGTGCAACCTCCACTGCTAAACTGCTACGCAGAGGAAAGCAGAGCCCAGGGAATTGCAGAGAAATGGAGCTGCAGCCCCGGGTTAAGCCAGCCCCGAAGTCTGCATTCTTTCTAGCTTCTAGTTATGTGAGCCAATACAGTTTCTTTTTGTTGAAGATAACTAACAATTGCATGCTTTTGGTCACTTGGAAACTGAAGGACATAAAATAATAATGATACCTGTTAGAATCTGGGGGGAGGCAAATAAAAAATAAAAGAAGGAATGTGCTCCGCGTTGCATAGGACTAAGTACAGAGTGAGCACTCAAAACATGATAGTTCCTTTTACTGTAGCGTCTTTTCTTGGCAACACTGCCTTGCCTCAATTAAGGGATTCTCCCAGAGGATCTATTTCAGTTTTATTCAAGCACAAGGACATCTCTGACATTATAAATGTTGAGAGGCTTTGTTTTATTCATTGGCAGTCTCTAGGAATTGATGGTGCTGGAGGCAGGGAGAAGAACTACATCCAGAAAATCCTCAGTGCCTGTTATCGGTTGATTTGTGTTTTCCCCTCAAAATAGGTCGAAGTCCTGAAGCCCAAACCTCAGAATCCGCGCCTACTTGGAAAAAAGGTCACTGCAGATGTAATTAGTTAAGATGAGGTCATGCTGCAGGAGGGCGCAGGCCCCTAATCCGATGTGACTGGTTTTCTTTCTCATGAGAAGACAGCCATGTGAAGACACAGGCGCACAGGGAGAGTGTCACGTGATGACAAAGGCAGAGTACCCAGAGTTGTGTAACTGCAAGTCTGGAATGCCAGGGGTCACCAGCAAACCTCCAGACGTTAGAAAGAGAAAAAGAAGGGTTTCTGCATAGGTTTCAGGAGGAGAATATACCTGTCAACACTTTGATTTTGGACTTTTCGGCTCCATGACTATGAAATAATAAATTTCTACTGTTTGAAGCCACCAGGTTTGTGGTACTTTATTACAGCAGCCCTAGGAAATGAATACAGTGCCTATTCAGAAACACTGAATGGAAAAAGAATTGGTGGAAACCAGGCATTCTAAATCACCAGTCTTTCAAAAGATTTAGAAATATTATCAGGTCCCCTGTCTATGGTAATTTATGCCAGGCTGCTACAAGTCTAAAATTTCCTCTCCAAAAGCACCCCGATATGCCTTATTTAAAGACACAACCATTCTCTAAGTCTTTTCTTTAGAAATATGCAACAGTCAGGTATCTAAAACAGATAAAAGTGCATCTCCTGTAGGTGAAGGAAGGTGGGGAAAGTCAGACCTGCTGCCGACTCTCTCTAGTGACCCCTGAGCCCCCGCCCACCACTTCCCAGCACTGCCAGGGCTCTATAGCACTCAGGCTTTGCAACACTATTCTACGGGATGCAAATAATGGGCACGTATGATCACATTTAGGAGTACAGTAGGAGTTCTCTCAAATGACTGCAGCATCACTGACTTGCCAGATTAAGAAACATTCTCCACCTTTTCTGTAAAATCGAGTGACTGGTGCCCAGGCTGACGCTCCAAGCGAACAGTTTAGTTGCCGGTTTGCCCCTGTGCTTCTCCACCAGATGAGACTGTGGGGTCTGTTTCCAAGCCTCATTCTGCCCGTTACACTTGGTCGTATAATTACGTAATTTGGTGGCCTAGGATATACACTGACCAACTGTGGATGCAAAAAGAAAATGCTCTAAGTTGCATGCTTTGGAAGCCTGGCTTAAAAGAAAGGGGCTAAAACTAAATCAAACCCTCTGTCGAACCAGATGAGGGTGGGTCAACCACAGAAGCCTGGAAGGCTCTGTACTTTGATTGCTTTCTAAACGCCTTCAAGATCTCATTCCACTTTAAGGAAACTGAAGCTGGAAAGTGCAGAAGATGGCTTTCAGGTGTGGTTTATCTAAGAATGGCAATTAAAGATTCCAATCATCAAACTTAAAAATTTCATATGTTTTAAGTTAAAATAAAATATTTAAGGCACACATATATCATGTTATGATTAAGCATAACCATTTTCATGGTCTTTTTTTAATCAACGAGTTAGCGGCCAGCTCCAGCTACGTGGGATAAGAGGACGCTTATTGCACTTGCTTCATTTGGGATGCTCTGTTCTTGGACGGGCAAATGCTGGTGTTTTACCTTAGTTGTCACCAATGGCCACCTAGAATGTAAGCTCCACAAGGGAGGGAGTGTTTGTGTGCTTTGTTCAGTGATGCTCATTTTTTAAAAATTCTATTGATTCAAAACACCTCAGGTATTTGCAATTTTGAAAAAAGGAAGTATGTGTTTACCTGAATAATTTGTAAAACTATTTAAAAAATGGCAAAGGACCCATAAATCATCTTCTGTGGATATAACTATACATTTTGCAGATGTCTCCAAAAGGACTTGGTTGATTTCCTGGCCATGTCGTATTTAGGTCAAAGGCTTGGTCACTATCAGAGACAGAGGTCTGAGGCCTGCTCCAGGGTTTAACCCCATCAGGCAGGGACTCTGAGAATGGCTTTCCCTGCAGCGTCTGCCTGTTTCAACCTTCTGCAAGCAGAAGTCTACAAAGTGTAAACACACTCCAACTTGGATCACTATTCAGATTCCATTCATTTACCAAAAACTGTGTTTTCTGGCCATTTTCAGAGATGAAGTGGTAAATAAAGCATGTCAGTGACACTGCAGTGGTTCTGGACTGTGCCACATTCATACAAGGGTCCCCGCCCCCAGTCCGACTGCAGAGGAACCTAGTCCCTGCAGAGCTGCACCCACTCTAAGAAAGACAAGCTGAGAATGAGGGAGCAAAGGATGCCATAGCCCATCCTCCTGTTTTTAGCTGAGATGGAGCCAGCCACTGGCCCACGGCATGCAGAGACTGGCATCTGATACAGGGCAAGAACTCAATCCCCACTCCATTCTTCACCATACTGTATGCCCCTAGCAAAAACAACCAAGATGAATCAAAATGAGTGTGAATGAGTTCACAGTGCCACTCGCTTACAGTGACATGTGCTGGATAATTACTGGTTGGTTTGACTTTCTGACTCCACAGGTAGAAATAGGCTGAGAATCATCAGACTTTGTGCATGCGAAGAATCTGGAGTGGTCTATGTTGTTGGCGTCTTCCTAACCCCACAGGAAGTGGGCAAGTGGAGAGCAAATAGATGACCATTTCCCAGCTCTGAGGTTGCTCTCGCCGGAGGGACTGACTTACGGAGAATACTGCCTAAATTTGCAATGTGCCCAACTTAACCACAGCAGGGCAAACGTGGTGAAGGCAACCTCAGGCAGAATAGCCAAGGAGAGCCTTCCATACTCAGAATGTTGGAGAAAAAACAACTGGCTGGTGGTCTGCAAGTCTTCTGCAAGCCTGGGGGTGATTATCTCCACAGTGGTACGCAAGGAGAATAGGGAACCACAAGGACACCTCTGAGGCTGTTCTGGATTCTGAGTGTGTTTGTCTTTCTCTAGCCCGTGAGAGGGTGATGTAATGATCTGAAGCACAGGCTCGGCTAAGAGACACCCACAGTTTAGAACACTGGTTCTGATACTGGGCAAGTTATTGACAATTTTTTAAAGTCTCTGTTTATTTGTAAACTGAGAGTAACAGGTATCTACCTCAGAGTTTTGTTGTAAATATTAAAAGAAATAATTAATGCACAGTGCTTAGCACATAGTAGATGTTGAAGAAATACTAGCTAATTAATAACTAGTTGATTATAACAATACTAAATAAATAATCTTAGGGAAATGCAAGAAACTCACCAATCATCTGAGTGTCTAGCACGTGGAAGCTCTGTGCTTTGCCTTGTGAGGTTCTAAGAGGCTCTCACAAGAGGGGTTTCTTCACCAGCACGGGAGATAAACCATGTAGCTCTTGTGTGAATAGGTAAATTATAAATGCATAAGCCAGGCACAGGTGAATCGTGACAAGAGGTCAGGAGAAAGGCACCATCTAGCTGGGGGATTTAGAGCAGCTTCGTGAAGGAAGTGACACTGGCACTTAGCTGTGTGCTTTATGAAATATCCCCAACCAGTGTGAACCAAATTCTGAGTTAGTTTCCAATTATATAGTCCTTTCTTGGGGTAAATCCCATTACTCTTTTTCATGTTGGTTCTAACAAAAATAAATTGATTTCTGAACTATCAGCTAAACAAACTCCATGTAGGAAAAAAGCCCACTGCTCCAATCTCTTTCACATACTCTATGGTATATTCAGAAGTCCTGTATTTGTGCTCTGCAGTGTTTGGTATTTGACATTATCTATGATGCCATGCCTTTCTACTAGAATAGGTCTAAAGAGATGAGGTAGTCTCTTCAGAATTCCTTGAATCCGCATTTTTCAGAGTGGGCTTGGGTTTTACTAGTTCCACAATATGCGGGGTGGGATAGAGGAAAGAAAGGAAGTGGGAGGAAGAGGAAAGAATCCTGTGATGTAAACTTCTGAGGCACTTCATTGCTTACATCCCCCTTTGGAGGTTCACTACATACATCAGCATATACAAGCTAAATCTACTCAACTCGCTAAGCTTAGGATATCGCAAACATACTTGGTCAGGAAAGACTTTTTATCTCCTTGCATAATCCCTACTGATTTTCCAGTTTACTTTGCCCTGAGCAATTGGCACAGCATTGCCAGAGGGTCGTTAGAATGGCTTGTGAAACCCAAACTCATTCAGGCAAGCTGGAAACCTAGGAAGGAAGGCCGGTGCCTTCCGCCTTATGACCACTCCTGGGGCGATGACCAAACACGCACCCCCTGAGAATCTGACGCATCTTCCCCATTTGGAACACACTGCATTCATCCTCCACCACAGCCGTACATGGTCTTCCGCGACACCTTGCGAGGCTGGCCTCATCGTCCCCTTTTCACAGGTGAGCAAGCTGGCGCTCAGGGAAATGAAGCAACGGATGAAGATTGCACAGCTGGGGTGTCAGGACTTAAATTCTGTTTCCTATGTCTTCTGGTCACTCCATTTCCATTGCTTTGGAGTCACAATAGTGCTAGAAAGTTAGGAGCACCTTAGTTTAGTGTTGGGTGATTTCAGGGAGCAAACATTTTGGCGGTAGAGGAAAAGACAGTGGCCTGCCATTTACCTAAAAGCTAGTGGCTTATATGGTAATCATCTCATCAATAGAAATTCAGAGATAGAATTTTTTTTATTTTTTTATGGTGTGACAGTCCAAAGCACTCCCCTGTTAGGCCAGGTCTCCACACAGGGAGTCAAAAGCTGGGGGACACTGACCAGATAATAACAGAGGTCCCTGAGCCGCACCCAACCCTGACCCGCTAAGTAGTCCCCCCGCGCCCACCACATCTAGAAAACCCTTCCTCTTCCGCCAGGAAGTGTGGCTGCATGTGATCTCTGGGACCCCTCAGCTATATCTGGAAAAAAACAAAATGATTTTGCCAAAGCATCAGTCAACAGCCCTTGAAATAGAAACATGAAGTAATTACAACTGACAGTCCTGGAACGGTGCTAAGACTCAGAAGCGGTGTTTTTTTTAGTCTCAGGAGATGGGCTGTGCCAGCACTGTCTGAGGAAGCTTACGACATGGGGTGAGGCTATCAGGAGAGATACGGGGAGGACATTTTCTTTCCTGTAGATAAAAGATTGTCTGAGCTCCATGAAAACCATAGATGTCAACACTGTGAAGGAGTGAGTCTGGATAAATGGCATGATTTATTCCTCTTAAAGGAAGCGCTTACTTTGATGGGGGGTTCACTGTGTTTTAGCTTAAAGGAATGACAGCATGAGACCATCCATGGCATTGCATGCTAATTAGGAGATTCACCGCCCCAGCCAGGACATTTTTTATGTGCCATGAAAAAAATCTACACATATGATGAACACTTGCTGAGAAAAGGAA